TTTTGATTATTTCTGTGCGCAAAAATGTTGTGTATTAAAACTGATGTTCTTTTTAAAAATATAAATATATTAATTTGTATAAGAATACATACCTATATTTTTTACAATTTTATAAATAATTTGATATATATATATATATATATATATATATATATATATATGTATATATATATATATATATATATACATTTATATTTAATATTATATAATAGAGTTTGATTCTTCATAAAATTTTTGGTCAAAAACCAAGACCAAAAAAATATATCGGAAGTGTTAAAATAAATATGATCAACTAATATTTACAATAAAAATTTATGCATGTCTAGTGAATTAAATTTTGAATGTTTTACAAGATATACAATAAATAATTTATATGTACACATAAAAACTAATAATTGTATGACCAATGATATACTATATCATTTATGGAAGACACCTAAGCATGGTCCTGCTTTTGTGATAAGGCTACTTGTGGTGTTTCATATTGCCCCTTTTCCTTGCTCTCAAGAGTCTTTTGCAAAACACTTTTGTGTGTCCCCATTCTGTCCTTAAGGACAGTAAAGTACAAAATGCAATGTACAATGCAGCAACATAAGGCCATTATTGAAAAAACTTTAAAAGATAAAGCACCTCCAATGGATTTCATCAGAAATCCACCTATTAAACTGCCGATTGAAAATCCAAAACCATCATCCATACCTGCAACAATACCTTGAACGGTTGCTGAAGCTCCTTCTGGTGCCACTGCACTCGCATAGGCAACAATTGTTGTGTAGCACAATGCATAGGTTGGACCTTGCATGAAAAATTCAATCGGCAACACCCACCAGGGGTTAGATACGAATGATATGAGTCCCATACGTAAAGCGTAGCAGAAGAAACATATTGTTAAAGAATGACCATAACCGATTTTAGATAAAATTTTACCGGATATTAAAAAAAATAAAACCTCTCCTCCAAAAGATTCAGCAGCAATTGTTAAGCCTTCTAGTAACTTGATGTGCTGATGATAACCTGCTATTTCAGCTAACTCTTCCATGTACCAAAACAAATAATAAATTATAAAAGAATCCATTACCCCAGCCATTGTCGCGAAACAAATAAAAATAGCAATGTGTCTCTGTTTTAACAGTTTCCATACTTCACTCGTGATGCTGCTTGGAGTACTTAAATCAGGTAACCGTAGTTTCTTACAGCCTATTAAATCAAATAAAGTAAATGCCATCATTATAATAATTCCTGGTAAATAATCTTTGTACGGCTTTCCTTCTGAGTATTTGTCTATAGCAAAACCACTTAACAGGGCTGTAATGCCGTATCCAATGGTGCCCCAAACTCTCTGTTTCCCATATTTCATTTCACCACCATTTCCTAAAATATCGAAACATATAGCATCACTTATACAATTAGTAACATTAAATGCAATTGTTCCCAACGACATGAGAATAACAAACAACCAAACGTAGGTGTTCCATATAAAAAGTAGTCTTCGTGTACTATTTGTTCACAAACATATTTACAATTATAAGGCTTATCACACTTTTGAGTTTTGTTGACACAAATGTTGAAACTATTTTGATCGTGATATAAGGATGCATTAAATTTGTTCGTCAAATTATCAGGCTTGAGATCAGGACAAGAATAGTGGCATGACACATCTTGTAAAAGTGCACCAGCAGTATTAGTTTCATTACATATTCCTATCGGGCATTTACTTGCATTTATTTCTACAGTACCGTTTTGCCACAAACTAGTCAATTCTTCAGTCGGAGCAGGCAAAAAATACAGTAATCCAAAAGAAGTACACATTGTCACAATTAAACTTAAAAATATAAATTTTCTCAAACTTTTAAAATAATCAGCTAAGAATCCTACAACAGGTTTGGCAATCATAAATAATATTGGCAGAATTGATGTAACAATGCCCATAACTGCCGGTGAGACCCCCAATTGGCGTCCGAACACGTTCATTTGAGGTAGCAGGGGCCCCAAAGCAGCCATGAAGCAGAAGTAGTGGCCTTGATAGGCAAAAGTTTGTAGTTTACCTTCATCTTGTTAGTTAAATGTATGTAGACACCTGTTTGAATCCAATTGTCAGCTAATCATGATATTCCAATTATTGCACTATTCCCGCATTCCACCAAATTAATTTTTCACATCAATATAAAACTATAGTGTGGCCCAATATTACGTCAGTAATATCGAATTGGCAATTAAAAAGCGATTCTTATTTAACCTGTTCGGAAAGGTTAAGATAAGCATAATTAAACTGTTCATCAAAGGAGCAAACAATTGATTCAATGTCGCGTACAGATTAAATTTGATAAAGCCTTCTTCACAGATAAGATATATAATCTCCATGTCAACATTATCTAAATAATATGCAAACACGACGATGTACAAAAGGAAAAAGTCAATGTCGTTGATATTTGTCTACATTTTAGGAAGTTTATTTTGACATTAATAGACTTTAACGGTGGCGCCATCGAGGGTCGGAAATTCGTTGCGGAAATAATCGAAACTAGTTAAGAAATGATAACCAGAAAAACCGGATATAAAAAGAAAGCTGTTCCGTTTTAATTTCCTTTTTGAAATAATGGAAATATTGTTCAATTTATCATTTAATTCATATTTTATGGGTTATGTATTCCAATTCACTCAGAAATTATATTGTAGTTTAAATGCTAAAACAACGAAATAACATAAAAAACTAGTGGGCTTGGCAACGTGCCTCAGGGAAAGTTGCTGGAACTTCCGGTACCAGTAATTGAAAATTCCTAAAAACGGTAATTTTCTTAAAATTATTGAATGTTTAATTGTCAAATATTCATACAAAATGTGCAGGACATTTATTTACTATATAACTATATAAGTAAACTTTAAGCATTATAATTCTTGATGTAGAAACAAAATTTGTACTTATTTACAAAATCGATTTTACAAATAAGTACAAATTTTGTTGTGGAGATATCTTTATAAAATATCTGATAATTTGATGTGTACATATATGTCTGATGATCATTTTTGACTGCCAAATGGCATTTCTTCAACTTTTTTTTCATTTTTTGACCTGCCTTCTAAAAAAAGTAAAGTGTATTTTGAATCATTCAAATCGGATGCTCCATTCTCTCAAAAAGAGAATTGCCATTTTTGGAACTTTTTGCCCCGTAACTCTGTAACAGCTGGACCTGCTTTTTTAAACTTATCAGCACGTCTCCCCATTAATAACAATCAAATGTTTTTTGAATCATTCAAATCGGTTGATCCGTGCTTTCAAAATCGTCTACGAAAAATTGTATCCGCACATACAAACATATGTACATCCAAAAAACTATTGATTCATATACATTTATCGTAAATAAATACTGCAATATGATTCAAACCCTTGAATTTCCAGTCTCATATAAACTGATCTTTTAATTAATGCTATTAATGCTTCTTATCAACATTTGAGCAGATGATTATTTTATAAACAAGGCAATGACTTGTTATTAAAATAGATAAATTTATATATATATATATATATATATATTCAATATCAATTAATAAATACAAGATCATTGACTTCGGTAAAAAAACTCTTCAAAATGCAGTCTAAAATATATATGAAATATTTTAAAATAACTAATATAAACAGTTAAAAAGAAATGAGAAACTCAAGATTTTGCCAGAAAACCCAAATTGATAATTTTACGTTTTCACGTACGTTTTCAAGTCGTTCGACTCCAAAATTGTAAAAACAATGTGTTTTAGCCAAAATTTGAATTTTCTCAAAAACGGCTGAACCGATTTTAAACATTAAAAGGCAATCGATGTTTTTTTTTATAATTTATCTACCGGAATTTATCTAAAAAATTTAAAAAAAATTGTTTTCTTTACCAAAGACAACCACCAGCAAATGTAGCGAAGTTCACGTCTTTGATCTACAGTTCACTTTTCCGCCGCTTAAAACTTACAGCGCTATATGACACCTTCATAATTTGTTGTCATTCTTGTTCAGTGTGAAGAAAAAATCTCAAAAATGGCTGACGCAAGTGTAGATCCAGAAGTTATTAAATTTAGGGCCGAAAGAACGGCCAAATTGAGGCACCAGTTCTTGAAAGAAATGAACAATCCGCATCGCCATGCAGAAGGAGGTAGCCTTGTGAGTAGGACGTTATTTTTGCAATAGCAAAAAGTTAACCTAATTGTTATGTCATCTGTCATAGTAAAATACACTACAATTACAAAGGCATAATTTAATTAATAATAAAACTCCTAATACTTATGTACGCGTTTGCGATAATGAATTTGAATCTCAACTTTATAGTTTGAAAAAGCTATTCTAAAATATTTATAATAAACATTACCATTGTATCATCTTTGTTTTCGGTGTCCGTCTATGTCAATGCAAGTGTTAATTCCTTAAAACTTTTTGTGCCATGAAATTGAGCCAAGCGAGTGCATAAATCATTATTTCAATTAATTTGTGCATGCATTAAGTTTGAATTTAGACTTTATATGCTGAAAATATGTTGAGAAAATATTGTTTAATATTAATTTAAATTGATAAGTATTTCATTCGTCTAAAGATAGATAACAAAGTTGCATTAGTAAATGTTCATGTATACATGCCTTAAGTTTTTCAAGCTATCAATTCCTTTTACATTTTGATATCACAAAGAGTAGTTCTTTATCTATGATCATATATTTTTTATGATTTCCTCTTTTTCAGTTCGATCCTGCCATTCAAAGGTACATGTCCAAGAAAGTAACATACTGGGACAACTTTAAGCCAAATTTTAAATCAGCTAGAGCATTTATGCTTTACACTGTAATTCCTATTGCAGCCTTTGCTTACTTTTTAGACAAAGATAGATCCGCAAAAGAACACATGTACAGAACAGGACAAGTAGCTTATGCTGACCGAAGATTCAAATATCAATAAATGATATTTGGATTTCTTATGTACATAGTGCTTTAATTATATGAAATAAAATAGTAATTGAGATATTGATAAATTGCTGGTTTATTTTTTATAATTATAAGAAAAATAGTTAGGTTTATCTGTCTTCCAATTGTTTATCTCGTGCTATCACTGATTCATCAAATTTCACCATGTATGTTGTTCCATTGTGCCAGTGAGCTGAGACTTTTGCGGGCTGGAAAATTATTATATTATTTCTATAAATAACTAAAAATATTTCATGTTTGTGATTGTGATACATACAAATCCACTTTCGGTTAAAACTGCTTCTACAATTCCAGCTGTAAAAACAGCACAATTCAAGGATCCTTTATCTTTTGGAATGCTTATGAACTTATTAACTAAAGCCTCTCGTTCAATTATATAATACGTACGCTCATCATCATTGGCATGTTCCAATTTATCTGCTTCTTTACCAAATAAATTCTACAAGAGTAACATTATGACTAATTTGAACACCACAAGCATTGTTTAAATAGAATGTTTTAATACCTTCCAAAGGGTGGATTTTACAAATAATAGCATATTTAGTAGTTTAATTTCTCTTTTACAATTTCTTTCTCGAACAAAATATAAATCTATAAGGCGACTTCCAACATCCATCCCCAACTCTGATAGCCTAAAATATTCATAATTGAAAGTCTATAAAGCTATCTTTAAAAATTAAGCTGACAGAATAAAAATTTGTGTCTTTTGTAATAGTATCGCTTCATGATAAATAATTTTCAATGATATGTCTGAAAAATCTTACAATATTTAATTGTAATAAATATCTGAAAGAATTACATATAGTAAAGAAAGTAATTTAATTATCATTCCACAATTATTCCAGCAAATCCCTAGTTTTCATCAATAATAATTTTCATTCAAGATAAATAAATTAAGAGTTCTTAATAAATATTTGAAAAATATGATTTGACTTAATAAAATTATGTTTTGATACATGTTACATATATTTGGAGCCTTAGCAAGTAACACTAGAACGATAGATTTACTATTTCATAACATATTCCGTAATATTTGTGAGAGGAATACAAAGGACTGCCCCTATCCCCTTATTAAATTTAAATGCAAGTTAAGTCTACCGTTATCAATCTGTCGTTTTGTAGAATAAGATATTATAATTCAATTATATATATATATATATATATATATATATATATATATATATATTTCCACCTACTTGGTTTGAAGTTCTGGCACAGTATAAACTCTATTTTGACTATATTGAACGACTTCTGAGAAAAGTAAAGCAAAACAGCTTAACGAAACTTCACCTCTTCCTCTACTCAGAGACTTATCCAAAACACTGTTTCTTATACGAGATGAAGTAATATTTAGTGACATTTTGTTGATATAACCTGGAAAAAAATCACAACTTAATTTTAACTGGGAATGAGATTTCTTTCATTAATCATTTGTACTACATTTATAATATATTGTAATAATAGGAGAAAATAATCTGATGATTTTATATTTAACATTAAATTGAAGAGGTATACACAAAGATTTAATGCAAGTTAGCACAAAATATTTATGTTCAACTAGATACCAAGAAATAAGTCCTTTATATTAACTTACCTAATCAATACACCATTTGATAAAATAAAATACTATAGCACTATTTATATTCAATATAAATTCAAACAAACTTAATTTTCAACTTTCGAGTTGCACAGTTGACATTTTTGTGTTAAAGAATTTTGACGTTTACAAAAATGAGCAGCCATTTATAATTCAAAAGTCAATGATTTTGATTTTGATTTTCCAAATTAACGTGTGAACTAAATTCGTAGTATTTTACATTTATTTTAAATAACACAATAAGTACAAAATACAATTAATACGTATTACTGAAGATGATAAATGTTATTTTAAAATGACATGTTGACGTTTTCGAATGTTGCCGCCATCTATGAAAAGAAGTGACAGATCACGTTATTATAGGTTATGTTATTACTTCAATTGTGCAAATATTTCACAAGTAATTGTTATTTGTAAATAAATTAATTGTTATAAATATTTACGTTGTTATTACAAGTGCAGTGTGTTATATTATTATTTCCTTGTGTAAATAATGTATTTTTAATAATTGATAAAATAATTAGTCTTGTTATATCTAGGTATTCAATATGAATCGTTTATCACTTTTTAAAAGATTCTCTTCAGCCCTAAATGGCTCAAATAAGATCATATTAGAACAATTATCCCACCGTGAAATTGTTCAAGTAAAAGGTCCAGAAGTAGCCCAATTCATGCAAGGCTTAATAACAAATGACATCAATCATCTCGCTGAAGGACATATGCCCAGTATGTATACAATGTTTTTAAATACCAGAGGCAGAGTTATGTACGATGGAATTGTGTACAGCACCCAAAACCCTGACACATACCTCATTGAATGTGATTCAGAAAGCGCTCAAATCCTTCAAAAACATTTGAAAATGTATAGAATAAGACGTAAAATAGATGTTGAAGCTCTTGGATCTGAATACAAAATATGGGTGCTATTTGATAAGACAAGTGTGAATGAATTATCAAAACCCTTAACAATTTTGCGACAGCAATTTGCATGCCCTTGTGCTGATCCAAAAGAACCTGTATCGAAACAACATGAATTTCATGTTGTCAGAGATCCAAGACTGGCAGCTTTAGGATTGAGATTTATAACACAAAAGAATTACAATAATAAAGATATTACAAAAATATTAGGGTTACCTGAAGATGCAACAAATAAACCTGAATGCACTTACCGTATGCATAGATATCGCTTAGGTATTGGAGAAGGATGCAAAGACTTACCTCCTGAGTCATGTTTCCCTTTAGAAGCCAATGGAGATTATTTACACGCTGTTAGTTTTAACAAAGGATGTTATCTTGGTCAAGAACTAACAGCTAGAACATATCACACCGGTGTAATCCGAAAGCGTCTAATGCCTTTGTACTTGGAAAATGAACTACCTGCAACAAATGTTAATGATGAGGCTATAAATATATCTAATGAAGCAAAAACACCAGTCGGTAAACTTCGAGGAGTAGATGGTACTAATGGATTGGCATTGCTTCGGATAGCTCCAGCACTTGCAGCTGAAAAATTAGATGTTAATGGTGTAGTTAGTAAAACACAGAAGCCGGAGTGGTGGCCGAAGGAGGGAAAGACTATATGACAGATAAGGAAATAATAACTGAACTGAATAATAATCGGTTGTATGTATAAAAAATTTATTTATTATAGAAAATATATAAATTGTTAATAATAGGTAACATTTAACTTATATTTTAAATATATAAAGTTTATAGACTATAGAAAGAATATAAATAAATGTTGATAAATATATAAATAAGCATATTATTCCTAAGCTCTAATAAATAATTTAAGTTTATTATGAAATTGTGAGAAGTGTGATGATTTTATTCAAATGATACTCTGAACTAAAAATACTAAATACTCATTTAAACATTTAATGCATTGTTTTCAAATTAACATATATTGCAATTTAATAAAATAATAGTTTAATTCACAGATTCCATATACATAATACCTATATATATTAGTTCATTAAAAGCATTAATTTATTTACATCTTATGCCATTTAAGGGGGTATTCTACTGTAGAATTTTGAAAAAATCGAAAAAAATTTTTTTTAATTTTTTCAAAGTTTAGTTATTCAAAAATATTCCATTAAAAGGATTTTTCAAAATTACTATTATTTCCTGAGATATATCCGTTTTAGTGACATGGCCTCGGTTCGGGTCCGACTCGTCTCAAAACTTTGAACGCGTTTTTCTCGGAACTACTTTTTTCGAGCTGGCGGTAAGGATATCTCGAGTTCTAATGAACCGATTTACTTCAAATTTGGAGAGGATCTTCTCTATACATCGCTTTATCGCATGGACCTTTCCCAAAACTGTAACTTTTCATTTAGTATTTTAAAAAAATCGGAATTGTTAAAAAAAAACATGAAAAAAAATATTTTTTTTTAAAGCTGCCGCCACTCAAACAAAAAAATTTGTTTTAACTTATCCAAGGTTCATATGATAGCGGCATCTATAATAATTAAGAATCCATCTATTTTTTATGTTTCGGATCACCAGGAAGGTTGGAATCATGCACGCCAGGACACCCTGTTTTTTTTGAGCCCCCACTTTGACTGCTCATAACTTTGTGAATTCTAATTTTTTTCCTTTAATAATTTTTTTTATGTAATAATAAAATATCAATAAACAAATGATAAAAATATCGATAGTAAAAATATTATTTGTTTCCTTTATACAGCGCTTCAAAAACTGGGCTAAATTCATGCTTCTACAGTAGAATACCCCCTTAAGCATTTGCTTTGAATAATTAAATACTGATACTATTTTTTAAGGTTGAGGTTTTCATAATCCACAAATTTTTGTTCTTTATACAATTCCAAACTTCATATTATACAAATTAAATTCGTGTGAATCTACCTATTTATCTGGCAAGCTTGTACCTCATATTTATCAAATATAATAAATTGGTATTGTTACAAACATTATAAAGGATCCAATTGTTACCAGTCTGCATTCATATGAGTTGGTAGTACCGAATGCTTAAACTATCACTTTACAATATGATTTTTCAATGACTAAACTCAAATTTAGTCAACAAAGATCTGAATCCCTGAATGTTTTACATTTTCAAATTACACCTGTTCTTCGGTGGTATCAGCCAGCTGCTGCAGCAGACATCGCTGATAGCGCAGCACCTGCTTCTTTTCCCGAAGCCAGCGCTCGCGTTCTGACTCGAACTCGCAAATTCGAGTTGATAACTCGGCACGTAGCCTTTCAGATTCAGCACATTGGGAATCACTAAATGGAAATTATAGTCACAAAAAAAATAAATTCAGGTGATTTTATTCCAATTCTTACCCTGGGCATTCAAAAGTTTGTTTCGTGTCGTGCCGGAGACGCATTAGATCCAGTTCACGAGCTGAGAGGGCATTCTGTAAAAGAATAAATAAATATATCATAGACCCACAATTATTATACTCTATTTATAAGTATCAATTACCCTGGCTTCCTTTAATTGCTGTCGCAGCAGAGCAGCTTCTCCTCTTATCCTGCCCTGTTCCCACAAAGCCTCCTCCAGTTTATTCCTCAATGTGGCTGCTTGTTCGCATTCGTTACTTTTGCAAGTAATTCTGCTGCAGCTACTAGTCCAGAATTTATCACAGTCTTTTGGAGACTTGGTTAAGCAGGATTCTATTTTTGCGTTGTGGAATATCTCGCTGGATATCATGTTTTCTTTCGCATAGTTTTTTATATTTTCTATATTCTTCTCAGTGACACTCCTGGAAAAATGATAATAACTAGTAATGAAAGATTCGAGAAAATTTAAACGTTTTCAAATATATTATTACAAATACTGTAACTTTCATTATTGTAATCAAATGTAAATCATAAATCAATTTTTCTCCAGAACATTTACAATCGTCATTTATTTCGAATTCAATTTCAAAAAAAAAATAGTTGCCTAATTTGCACAAAATTGAAAAGGTGCTCCCATATAGTCACAGTCTAAACGCATTTGCCAATAATTCTGTACGACATTTTTCACTTATGCTGTGCTTAGCTTGGCGGCATTTTCACCCTTTTCAATAGTTTTTTTTCACAAAATTTGAAAAGTGGTCCAGTATATATAAACAGTCTAAACGCACTTGAGTAAACATTTGTACCAGAGTGGCGCTTAGACTGTGCTTAGCCTGGGTAATTTTTTGAATTTCTAATCCAAAATTATAAAAATATTTTATGGAAAATAAAAAAAGTGGAAAATTGCTCAAAAGCAATTGTTTTGTCAATACAAGCAGAAAGTTTTTTAGATCATTCAAATCGGACGCTTAGTTCACTCAAAAACTGATATTTTTTGTACATTTAGCTCTGTATCTTCGAAATGGCGGGACCTGTCTTTGCCAAAAACTAATCACCCCTTCTCCCAATCATTACAAATTGAATGTTTTTTAGATCATTCAAATCCGATACTCCGTTCTCTCAAAAACTCGATTTGTATTTTCTGCACTCTTTGATTCATATGTCTATAACGGCTGGACCTGCCTTTGCCAAAAACTAATCAGCACATCTCCCTATCAATAGGAATCGAATGTTTTTTAACCATTCAAATGGGTTGATCCGTGCGCCCGAAAACGTGTACGAAAAAATGCGGACATACAAAACACACACACATCCATTTTTTCTGAGGTATGCCAGTAAAAAGTTCAGAAACTTTCAAAAGGACGAGAAATGCAAAAATTTTCATTTTCGGTTTTCGGCCCATTACTACCCTACGGGAAGTTAATTAATATCGAGGAAAAAGCTAATAAATTTAAATAGATTTTTATTATTACCTGTCATATTTTTCCCCTGACTCCACTCCTCACTAATGAACTCCCCATCGCCATTAATATAAATCTTGCTACTCCTGCAAACTCTGCTTCCTGCAGCAGTCGCATCGTTTGTGTTATTATTCGACGCCCTGCTGCTGCCCACGCTGGCAACACTAATACCAGACGGAGTGGTCGACGTCAAGCCGCGCGCTCCTCTGGCGGTGGCGCTGAGATCGTTTGCCGAATTCTCGACACCGGAAGCGAATCCGGAATCTGATGGAGATGGCGTCAGAAGTGGCGGCGATGTCGTTGGCGGTTGGCGCTGGTGGTGAGGCGAGGGCTGGTTCTGCCAGGATACACTCCTGTCCAGTAAATTGTCATTAATCATAATCATAAAAATTTATTTCTTTTATTTTTTAAATATATAGCCCACAGATTTCTTCCAAGAGGACTCAAAAATACAATTATTTTACATATTGAACTAGCAAACCCGACGAACTCCGTTCCGCCACCAGATGGTTTTGTGAGAAAGATGAAGAAATTTTTTGTTTGTTTTATATTTGAAAAGGAAAAATTTGATTTTATTACACAACAGTAATGAATTTATTTCGATTACAAAAATGAAGTATTTTTTAGTTGAACTTCTCTAAGTAAATGAAAGTGAACCCGCAAATTATCCTTTTCATGGAAGTGATCTTTGGTAAACCACATTTTTTGTTTTTTGGTCTGACGTTAACACAAACAAAGCGGATGGATTTCCAACTCGTGAACAGGCAACGTATAACTGCCCATGTGAAAAACAATGATTTTCTAAATAATCTATTTGAAATTTATCCCGCAAACACTAAGCGATTGAGACTTGTTATTGCGAATGCAAGGCGAACTGAAAATTGCAATCGTTTGATGTCAAACGGAAGATCAGTCGGAATCATTGGTATGTCACCAAATCGCCAGCAATTTTTGATTGAATGGTGAAATTCAGTGCGTGTACATCATTATTCTTTGCGGCAAGAATTGCTCGTTGACTTAACCAAGCATAATTCTGATAATTCTCACTAATGTCATTACTCGAATTTTTAATTACGGTGCGTGAAGTTCCAGCGATTTGCATTAAGGCACCTCGCGTAGCTCGAGACCTTTCTAACGAATGCAAAATTGTCAAAATCGGTTCAGAAAATAGTTGGTAAGAATAAGAGGACAGGTTATCTCTATACCATTATTGCAAAGTTTAAATAAGAACATAATTGCACAGATAAATCGACGTGAGGCAAGAAAAGGAATACCAAATTCATTTACTAAAGTGTTGTGGTCAAAGCCACGTTCAGGGTAAACTTTATATGTTTTATAATAAAGATATTTCAGTAATTTTCGCTGAACCTTCTCTATTGCATCAAAGATGTTGATTTGGTATGGATACCAAATAATCGAACCATATTCTAATTTTGAACGTACAATAGAATAAAAGAACAAATAAACTTCTGCAAAGAAGAGCATTGTTAGAATTGAATTGTTTACAATTTTTCAGTATCAAACCTAAAGATTTATGTGCTCTATTACAAATATCATTTATATGATCCGCGAAAAACAAACCAGAATCAAAAGAACTCCTAAATCTGAAATTTTATTACATCTATCAATGCTGGTGTTAGAAATTTTATAATCAAAATGTATTGGAGCGCGAAAAACTAAGAATCTTGCACTTTGATATATTTAAATGTAATTTGTTATAGACACACCAAGAGTGGAAAGAGTCAAGTTGAGACTGTAATAATAAGCAGTCATCAATAGAATTTATTTTGAGATATAGTTTGAGATCATCTGCAAATAATAAATGTGGACAGCTAATAATATCAGATATGTCATTAATAAAAATAATAAATAGTAGTGGACCAAGAATGGATCCCTGAGTAACACCTGAACTGATATTTTCAATGTTGCTCAAGAATCCATAATCATATATTTCTCTTGTTATAAATCAAAACTTACGAATTACGTCCATTATGATGATGGTGTCTCATCATGGCAAGCGTATGATTTCTTCCCGTCTGATTCTGGTTATTCCTGGTGAACAGCCTTCTGTCTAACGAATTGTGAAGACCTGGAGTAATTATTCTTATCGAATTCGATTCGTTGTTGGATTGACATCTTTGTCCATTCGGTGTCGTCGAAATATCTAAAATAATTAATATGTGTAAGTGGCATTTTTCTTTAAGGCAAGTCGCATGAACTTTCCGAAATTGACTTAATTAATCGAAATTCATATTTAGCTATTTAGATATAATTTTTAACTACTTTGGTAAAATTTCATCAATATTTGAGAAAGATATTGGTAATATTTTAGTTGTAATAAAGTCGGAATGAAGTTAAAAGCAAATTTAAGTGGGACCAAGTTAGACTCTGATAAGCATCGAACAAGAATGCAATACGAACGTAGTTGAATTCAGTTAGAATCTAATAATATATAATCGGACAGTGCGAATAATCTGATTGTCAGTAGAATTTATTAAGAAGAATCTAACAAGATTATATAGGGTCCGGCACTCGAAGTGTAACCAATTGAAACAGCCATAAATTCAGTTTGGAAAATTACTTTTACTCGATTCAAAGTACAAAATATGTAAAAATAATTCAAAATTTAAAAACAATTCACTTTTGCTCAATATGACCACCTTTTGCTTTGACTATGGCCTTTAGACAATCCAAAAACAAACGCGACTTGCAGGTTTGGCCGAACGTGACTTGCAGGTCTTTTGACCCACTGACGGACAACGGTTTTTTTAGCGCCTCGAGACTGATGTACCCCTTAGTTCGGACCTTGCTCTCTAATGGCCCAAAAAGATTGCGGACGTTATGAAGTTCAGAACGTTGTTTTTCAGCCATTCTTGGTTCACTCGAGCTTTATGAGATGGTGCCGAGTCCTGTTGAAACGTCGATGGTCTGCAACCAAAATGTTTGTCTGCCCATGGCTTCAAAGCAACCTTCAGAATACTTTCCCGATAATATTTCGCATTTACATTGACGCCAGGCTCGATAAAAACGATTGGAGATCGCTCATCTGCGGTTACAGCGGCCCAAACCATTTTCTGTGGCGTATGCTGCCTCCTGGTGTCAAGTAAACCCTATCGTTTTGAGAGTTTACGAAATGCTCAACTGTAAAAATTTTCTCGTCGGAAAACACAATGTTCGGAAATTTACCACGTTCGGCCAGGTGCGATTCGTTTTTGGATCGTCTAAAGGTCATAGTCAAAGCAAAGGTGATCATATCGAGCAAAAAAGTGAATTGTTTTTAAATACCGTATTATTTTTACACATTTTGTACTTTGAATCGAGTAAAAGTAATTTTCCAAACTGAATTTATGGCTTTTTCAATTGGTTACACTTCGAGTGCCCGACCCTGTAGTATCTGGTAACTATGAATCTTATATTAACCTTGTAGGTACCTTATAAAAATCTAGTATTCACCTTATGATAATCTGGCCAGAACCTAACAAGCAACAAAAATCAACCCAGTCAGAATCTGAAAAGTTCATGGTAAGAATCTAATGGAAACTTACCAGGAATCTTATAAGAATAAGAATCTACGATCCATCTCACTAATCTCGTAAATATTAGATAAATAAAATTAATTAATCTATAAAGCTGCAATTTATCTATTTACCTGAAGAAAAAATGCTTAACTCCGCCGAACTGCTGCCAACCGGCGTATGGTATCTCCTATGTCCGCCAATAGTGTTAAAATGATTAATTCCTATCTGAACATTACTTCCCAATCTATTATTATTATGCAAGGATCTAGTGTTGTACGACGGGGTAGCAGCATTAAGGGTGCCCGATGAAAGGGCCGGAGCAGAAGCATACCGTTCGCCGTACCGAGACGCTACCAGGGACGCCATCTCGCCGTAGCCCTGCTGCTGCTGCTGCGACGGTCGCGGAGACGGAAACCCAGCTCGGTGGGCGACGGGTCGGCGCAAACCAGCCGGAAGGGTACCCTGGGGTAATAAAAATATTGTGTAAACGGCATTAAGAATTAATAGAAGATTGTTTAGTCTATACCTGTGGAGTACGCCGCTGTGTGGAAGTATCCTCGGAGGCGACGCGTAGACTTCATCCGTTGACTGTGCCGCAGGTGAAGCACGCTTAGGAGCAGCGCTGGCGGTCCCTGACGCCGTCATCGCTGCACGCAGCGGATTTGCAAACTGTGACTCATTTGACCTGCGGAGGAAAATAATATTGTAACAATTTGTAAGAATATCCCGAGACTAATTGGAATCAACAATGTCTACAAATTCATATAAAACAAACTGCATAACAATCACAGTAATGCCAAGTACACAGCAGGTACGTTTTCGCCAGAATTCGGTACTGAGTTGCTGTTGAATAAACGTCCGAATCGGTGCACATTCGAGATGGGCTAGGATTGGGTTAGGATTTGACTCCGCTTCAGAGAGAAGTTATATCCACTTAACAACTCCACAACTCCGGCACATTTTGAAACATAATACTTGACACAAATGTGTTCTCTAGTGTGTTGTCAACATAGCTAAGGATTTATTAAGACTTAGGAAATAGTTTACAATAGTTTCAAACATTTTTGTTTATTTTATTATAATAAACTTTTTGCATTTCAATATGCATACAAATCTCAAATTGACAAAAACTTGGTAATCAAAATCAATTTTGTAATTATTTTTGAAGAGAAACACAGAATTCTTTAAATATTATTATTTTCATATGAAAATAATGCAGTGAACATTATATATGAAATAAGAACAAATCTTTCATCGTATAATATTTTTCACAAAATAATAATACCTCACATTCTTTTGTCATTTCCTTTTCGAGAATTAATTATACATCAGGTAGTTTGATTAGCATACTATTACTTTTACACAAATATAAAATCATAATTGTGTAAGTTATAATATAATACTAAATATTTTTTAGCTGGTTGTATACCATTTACGGACAAACATTATCGAACACAGAATATAGAATACAAAATAGCATTATTTTGAGACATTATATATCTGGAAAGTCCTAAAACTGGCTGGGGAGACGAGAAAAAAAACACTTCTTTCGACCCAAATCTTTGTATTAGTAAAAAAATCTCAAGCAAATATCTGCACATGTTAACAGATTTAGTATCAGTTTAGG